TGTTTTTTCTCATTATATATATATATATATATATATATATATATATATATATATATATATATATATATACAGTATATACTTGATTGGTAAGCAGCTGTGTAATAAATAAAGTAATGTACAGTCAGCTGGTCATTATTACCATATAATCCACATCAACATGATGCAAGACTGATATATATGATAATGGCCAGCTGATTGCACATTATACATTATACTATGGATATAACTGCCATATGTTGCTCCTCACCATATGCGTGACTGTTGATGGAGCACTTGTTGAAGATCATGATGTTCTGGGTGAGGGTTCCTGTCTTGTCACTGAAGATGTACTCCACCTGTCCCAGCTCTTCATTTAGTGTGGTGGTCCGGGCCTCTGCTGCTGTGTTACTACGGCTGCAGAACATCCGCCGGTCCCAGTTAATGAAATAACTGTGACCCAGACGAATCACCTCCACACTAAGAGATTCAGACCGATGGAAAGAGAAACAGACGGAGGGTTATCATCACAATGCAAATGTGACCTGCTTTTCAGTAGAAACACTCAAATTGACTGCAGATCTCTGACCACATGGCAAACTCACAACAAAACACAAAAATACACAGTTTTCCTGTTCTAAAGACATAGGTTATTTAGTATGCAGCTGAGACAGACAATGGCACAACAGTCTACCAGACCATTAAAAGCAAGATTTCATTTCTAGAGACTTCACAAATCTGTCAGAAAACTGCAAAAACTGATTTTGGGTATGTGCATGCTGTGCCATGCTGCAGTTCTTCCTGTACGAGTCTGTACCAGTCAGAGGTGGGTTAAATTCACTGGACCACACGGCAGGGTTAGAGCTCATTCAGAAAGGTTCGGTCAGGATTTTAGTGGTGTTATATGGACTGTGTTATACGGGAGGCTGTTGTTATGTCAGAGAGAGAAAAAAGGGTCTATGGGGTCTATCTCTTACCTGTTAGGGAAAGTCTGAGGAAACATGAAAACAACAAAATAAATCAAAATAAAATAAACAGCAGAATGCATAAAGGATGCATTAAGCATAAAATGAATCTAAGCTAGTACTTCCCCCCAAAAAAAGTACCTAAATCAAAGAAGAGAAGTAGATTATAATTGGAATTTTCATGAATATGATACACTTTGGTGTCTAATGGTGTTATTCATATACTATTATAGTTTTTATTAATGTTTTAAATGAGCTTTTATTTTATTAGCTTATTTTATATATTATGTTTTAAATGAGCTTTTATTTTATTAGCTTATTTTATATATTATGTTTTAAATGAGCTTTTATTTTATTAGCTTATTTTATATATTATGTTTTAAATGAGCTTTTATTTTATTAGTTTATTTTATATATTATGTTTTAAATGAGATTTAATTTAATTAGCTTATTTCATATATTGCTTGTAATTTAATTCGTTGAATTTTGTGTAATTTTATTATTTTTTCATTTAGTATTATTATTTTTTTAATTATTCAGATTTAATTTACTGCGTTTATTTCAGTTCAGTTTGTTTACATTTTTTTCCCAGTTAGTAATTTTAATACTTCAACTTAACCTTATTTCAGTTAGTTGCCAAGACAAAATTTCAAATTTTCGTCTATTTTCAGTTTTTCATTTAATATTTAGATTTATATTTCAGTTAACAAAAGTGTTTTTAATAATTTTTGATAATAACCCTGATATAACAACAACATAATTTTAAGATAAACGGTTAAATTAATATTAAAATAATTGTAGTAAAAATGTTCTTTGAATGACTTAAAATGTAATGCTTAGCATTGTTTATCCCTAAAAACAAAAATCCAAAAAGTCCTAAATTGGATAATTGGAATAGTTGACAAACCTCATATAAAATAAATAGGAAATAAAACAGCTCATATGAATTTTACATTTATGTTCAAAATATTGTATTGCTGCAGTCCATTATTCAAGTGCCACCTGAACAGTTCCCACTGGATAATTCATCCTTTTCCCTCCATTACGACATTTCTCCCTCCACATCTTGCTCTCTCTCACCTGACATAGAGGGAGATGGGCACGACTGTGTTGAGGATGATGACATAGGACCAGAAGGACAGGAAGGCTGAGAACAGGAAGTTGTCCACTGGAGGGTCCCAAGGAAGAAAGCTCTGGAACAGAGCACCCACTTCTTTTTCCCAAACTGCATTTCCTATGGCCAAGATCACTCCCATACACACCAGGAACCCAAAAATCTGACGAGGGGAAAATGACAAACATTAATTTGGAGAGTGTATGCTGTTTATATATTTCGGTTCGATAATTCAGCAGAGGTTTGTAAGTGAGTGTGTTTCTCACCCACAGCACCAGTGTATTCATCAGTCTGTCTATACTGGTGCGCTTGAACTTAGTCCGTCCACTATTCTGCATCAGTTTGGTGTCAGGACCTGAGGTGCACCATGACATGTTAAAATGAAAACTAATCACACACACATATTCACATAAACACATACACCAACCTGCGAAAATAACAAGGCCATAGCAGGTCTCTGTGTTGCGCAGGACGCAGCCGCGAAGCAGCATGTTCTGGTTGCTGAGGGGGTATTTGCAGTCTTTCCAATACAGAGTCCCGCAGAAACGGTCAAGCTTGTTGTTGGGAGGCTCACACACCACTTCTCCTGAACATACACACAGCCCGTGTGAAATATCGAAACAGTATTATTTTATGTAATATGTGTTATGACCAACTGTTCAGCATCCTTGGTCTCGGTACAACCTGTGAGCTTTGGAATTTTTTGTTGTTCTTTAAAAACAGGAAGCGTGGGTGGTCTGTGCTGACACATGTGATGGTGTGTGCGTGTGTGTGTGTGGTAGTATATTGTGTTGGATGTTAAAGAAATGTTGCTGAGAAACTGTCCACCACATAATTTACTTTCCGCACACTTTGACTCACTGTATCTTTTGTTCTCGCTTCCTCCAGTAAACTAGCTCATAGTGGGGTCAAACAGTTGTTGCACTTTTGCATTTTCAGCGCATCTATTCACTAGCCCATAATCACATTTATCCTGACGTTATCTGCGCTGGTATAGCATTTCATCATGCATACTTAAATTAAGTCATTATTTTCAGAAATGTCAATTTAACTTTAATTATACATTTTATTTATTCAATTATACATTTTATTGTATTCATTATTTTATTTTGCACAGATTTCTTTTGGATGCGTTTGTGCCGTTACCTACTTTGCATAATTACTTTAGTGAATCTGTGCTAAAATATGTAATTAAACTGTGGTTATCAGTGAGTGCAACTCACACAGGAATGCCCCCAATGAAAATATGCAATTCCTTTTATTGCCTTTCTATTTTTGTTCCATAAACGTCTGCAAATCTGAAACATACCGCATGCAAACAAGTTCCCTCATTTATCAGTTCACAATATTGCTCAGCTGTTTCTTTTTCTTACTAGTTCACTTTCTCATTTCCACTCTGGCTAACTTTCGCATCAATACCAAATCACATACCATCAAACCGGGCCAGGTTATTAGGATCTCCCAGCTCTGAGGTAACAGACAGAGACTGACGCACCTTCATGTTCGTCTCGCTGTGGCAGAAAAATTCATTGACATTTTATTAAGTTGCACTGGAAGTATGAAATCATGTTACACAGCAAATTCGAGAAAAAAACACAGTCATACCCATCCAGTTCTGCAGTTTCAATGTAACAGAGGCCATGTGGTTCACTGCTGGACAACAGGAGCAGGTCAGCCTGTAACACATATACAGTATACATCAGTGCTATTATTAGCTGAAACTATTCAAATGTTTTTGTTAATTAAAATAAGCTGAAATAATATAAATGATAAATATTAGGTGAAAACTTATTCCAAATGCAGCATTTCTAAAGCTGACACACTAAGATTACTAATTTGAAAATAAAATAAATGAAAACTAAAATTGAAATAAAAATAAATCTAAACAGTAATATTTAAAAAAAACAAAAATGAATAAAAACTATGAAAGCACATGACAAAATTACAAAAAATAGAACTAAAATTAAAATGAAATTTGAGTAGTACACAAAGGAAAGCTATTAAAAAATATCACTAAAACTATAATAGTATCTACAGTATATCATCTTAAAATAACACTGATATACAGTGAGACCAAACTGCATTTAGCATATTAACAAGACACCTAAACTGCATCCTCGAGAGTCAGGGTTACATAACCAGAGGCAGAATCAGCTAATTAGACCTTGGCTACTGGATCAATATCACAGTGCAGTATTCAAGAGCAAATGCATCAGACATTGATGCGTACATGACCCTGAATTACTGCAAGTAATGTCTGAGACTGCTGAGCTAGTAAAGAGTCTTTTTATTTTATTAAACCAAGTTTAATTAATTAATTAATGTCAAGAAGGACTATAGAGGAAAACTCACTGCCACAAACTGGTTGTTCTCCAGTTTGATGATGTCTCCCACTCTGACATTCATCCATTTCTCCTTCTGAAGACTGAGAAAGTAAAAAAAAGTATAGTATATATATATGTGTATGTGTATGTGTATGTGTGTGTGTGTGTGTGTGTGTGTGACCCTGGACCACAAAACCAGTCATAAGGGTCAATTTTTTTTAATTGATATTTATACATCATTTGAAAGCTTGAAAGCTAAGCTTTCCATTGATGTATGGTTTGTTAGCATAGGACAATAGTTGGCCAAGATACAACTATTTGAAAATCTGGAATCTGAGGGTGCAAAAAAAATCCAAATATTGAGAAAATCACCTTTAAAGTTGTCCAAATTAAGTTCTTAGCAAAGCATATTACTAATAAAAAATTCAGTTTTGATATATTTACAGTAGGAAATTTACAAAATATCTTCATGGAACATGATCTTTACTTAATGTCCTAATGATTTTTGGCATAAAAGAAAAATCAATAATTTTGACCCATACAATGTTTTTTTGGCTATTGCTACAAATATACCCATGCGACTTAAGACTGGTTTTGTGCATAAACATACTAAATATTGAGCCAACAGTGCTTTTATGCCATGGACAGTCACTATCCACTCGGCCACATTTATATTTTTTGTAAACAACATTTATATTTTCTTGTAAACAATGTAAAAGGAAGTGCGTATATTAATACGAGACTCACATGCCACCGATGAGGACCTGAGACTGACGGTTATTCACCTGGTTGTCACTCTTGTGACGAAACTGTGAGAGAAACAGAGATGTGTGTGAAATGTAAGTGTCTGATGGTGTTTTCGTGTGGTAGTTGTGTTAGGTGATTAGCATGAGTGTTACCATATTTCTACGTGGAGGGGGGCTTGGCAGTTACAGTAAGTTATAAGTGTGTGTGCGTGAGACTCACATAGTCATCGGTGGCATCTTTAACTGCAGTGATGCTCAGCACCAGCACTAAAGGCACAATGGTGGTGAACCAGGATAATGAGGAAATCTGTGGAATCAACTGAGACAAACACGTACCCACAATTACTTTTTAAAGCATTTTTATAGCACTCACTGACTCACCTACTAGTCTTACTAGTGTAATTAGTGTGAACATGTTCTGTCAAAATTACTGTTCATAAGCATCCATGAGCTTGCTAACTGTAGCCTTTAGGAATGGAGGAATATTGCCATGGTCACAGCCATGAAACCATATTTCTACGTGGAGGGGGGCTTGGCAGTTACAGTAAGTTATAAGTGTGTGTGCTTGAGACTCACATAGTCATCGGTGGCATCTTTAACTGCAGTGATGCTCAGCACCAGCACTAAAGGCACAATGGTGGTGAACCAGGATAATGAGGAAATCTGTGGAATCAACTGAGACAAACACGTACCCACAATTACTTTTTAAAGCATTTTTATAGCACTCACTGACTCACCTACTAGTCTTACTAGTGTAATTAGTGTGAACATGTTCTGTCAAAATTACTGTTCATAAGCATCCATGAGCTTGCTAACTGTAGCCTTTAGGAATGGAGGAATATTGCCATGGTCACAGCCATGAATTGACCTTTACAAAATAAATTACTTTTTTTCTCTACACTTGTAATAGCATTCAAAGTAAGAATTCATTCGAAGTATATACCTGCAGTATGAGGAGAAACAGGAAGTAGGTATTGGCAACTTCCTGGAACTGCTCAAACAGGTTGACTGGAAGGAAGGTAATGATGTTGTACTTTGAGGTCATGATACAGTTGCTCTGTGGACAGTGAAAGAGATGATGGGGAGAGGTGAAGGAGATGCAGAAGAAAACTGTACACTTAAATAATCTATAGTATATTTATGATGTATAGGTTGTATGTGCGACTTACAGCATACTGGAACTTCTCATTGTACTCTCTATCGTTGGCTCGGACTCTCCTTTCCTCCTCTGTGAAGAAAACAAACACTGAGATGTAAAAATTGCCTGAAATATATAAAATATAAAAAATAATGTTGATGCCAGTGATAGACCATTACAAATGAGTCTTAATTTTTTCCCAGTTAATGTCTGGAAATGCTTCCTCAGTTTCAACCAAGTGATTTGCTTTTAAAGGGGTCATATGATGCAATTTCAATTTTTCCTTTCTCTTTTGAGTGTTACAAGCTCTTGTTTCCAGCCGGACTGACACATAAGATACAAAAACACTGCTTGTATCTGAGAAAAGCTCTTTCTTTTGGTTCTCTCGTCTTTTGACAGAAATTGCAGAAAATGGCTGTCAGATTCACTTTGCTATGCATCTCTCACATCCTGTGCTCACAGCTGCACAGTTTTTTATGCTGGGTAATGGCCACTCCATGTGAAAGCCTGTGTGTGTGTGTGTGTGTGTGTGTGTGTGTGTGTATCACATCATATTATCCATGGGTGACTCGCTGCATCTTTTTGGAGGAGACACGTTCCTCTGCTCTACCCTGCTGAAAAGATCTTAGACAGCATGAATTTCCAAACACTCTAGATTTACTGATGGACCAAGGAACTGTTGAGCAAAACACCCCAATTAGATCTCTCCCCTGAAGACAAAAGACAAAACTTTCATTGTGGTAGTTTGCAAGAGGCTTATTATACAGACGAAGATATGTTGAAGCATTTGGTTGGTCGGGTTTCACTCTGTGCTGCTATAATATTGATGAGAATCTTGTACAAAAATAAAAAGACTGACCTCATTACTCCCTGCTCAGGAGTGAGAGAAAGAGGTCTGATGAATGGCCAAGAGCTGCATCTGCACCATTTACATGTGCATCAAAAGGTCAAACCCATAAACCCATGCACGCGAATAGATATAGCCAGTCTGTAGTCATGCATTTCCTCCTGCATGAGCCCTTCACACCTGCTCTGGTCCTCTGCTCAGTCACCGAGACTCTCTCTGCCTGTGGTTTCCTGTGTTAAGACAGCTTGGCTCTCTCATATTTCGCCACTATAATGGACGATTTATATGCACTGCCCACATAGTCAACACACAGCAACACACTGAAGCAAGCACTTTAAGCTACCACAAAAAAACCCCATCTATACACCATCAGCAAAAATTGCACATTTGTGACCCTGGACCACAAAACCAGTCATAAGGGTGAATTTTTCGAAATTTATATTTATACATCATCTGAAAGCTGAATATATAAATAAATATTTTTTTTTCCATTGATGTATGGTTTGTTGGGATAGGACAATATTTGGCCGAGATATGGCCTTTAAAGTTGTCCAAATTAAGTTCTTAGATATGCATATTACCAATCAAAAATTAAGTTTTGATGTATTTACAGTAGGAAATTTACAAAATATCTTCATGGAACATGATCTTTACTTAATGTCCTAATGATTTTTGGCATAAAAGAAAAATCAATCATTTTGACAAATACAATGTATTTTTGGCTATTGCTACAAATATACCCCAGCGACTTATGACTGGTTTTGTGGTCCAGGGTCACATTTATCCTATCACTGGGGCAGTACCTTTAAAAGTACACCTTTGTATTCTTAACTGTATGAAGCGAAGTAGGTCAGGGTACTAATGTGCTCTTAAAGACAGAAAATTCTGTCAGCATTTTCTAACTCTCATGTCTTTCCAAACTGGCTTGTCTTTCTTTCTTCTGCAGAACACAAATTAAGGTATTTTGAAAAATGTCTGTTTTATTGGTCCATACAATGAAAATCAACGAGGTCCAATGTTGTTTGGACCTCAACGTTGTTCAAAATCTTCTTTTGTGAAAAAGAGAAAATCAGATTACGCAGGTTTGGAATGACACGAGGGTGAGTAAATGATGACAGAATTGTTTGGGTTAACTATTCTTACGTACCATTCCTAGGGTCACTTAGGTCAATAATGCATCAGGTTAAAGGCCGTTCACACAAAGTATTATAACTATGAAGTTTTAATAATCATTCTAATTCTATGAAAATAGGAAAGTAATACCACAACTAAAATGATAATGAGAGAGGAATGGGAATCACTTTCAAACAATTTTTTCAGCTGCTGAATAATAAAAACTTTGAGATGCAATCAAAATCCACCCAACTTTATTAAGCCCAAGCATTTAAAGCTGCAGATGTAAGATAAATAGAACATTATTGTGCATTGGTGTGAAGCTAATATAGTTATCAATACAGTAATCCTTTTATTCAGCAGTCTTGGTGTGAATAGGCCTTAACACATTTATTCTCAGCATTTGTAACACTGTACAGTGCATCTCCATTGGTAGCTTGGAAATGAGTCATACTGTAAGTTTACATCAGCTTAAGTTTGATCATTTGCTTGAACGTATTGTTCCCTGTGTTTGTTCCCGAGTTATGCAATCCTTGTGAATCTTGCTTACCAGTAAAGAACATTGTGTTCCAATGATAGGCCTAATAAATGAAACCTGTATTTCTCTAAATACTGCATTCATTTTTGTTTTCATGAAACAGGATACAATGTTTGGAATATTTCCAGATTTATCAGGGAGTTTAACCTGATATCAAGTGATTTTGTATACTAGTTATACATATTTTATATGAGTTGGAGGTTCAGTCCTTGCACTCAATGCTGCTGGGTTAGTGTTGGTCTTCAGTAAACTCTTTCTCTCTCTCAATTGACTGAAGCAACTTTTGTCATTGTTGACACGGGTCACCGGACAAGCTGTATACTCCATGAAATAAACAAATAAAACAGCTTTTTCAAGATCACAATTCTAAAAATTTAGCATTTTGATGTCCTTCATATACTGTACATCATAAAGTTATCTATGGTAGTATCATACAAACATGAATAACCATGAAGGCTGACTTAGTCTTTATTTAACTCACTCCTTCCTTTATTGTATTTTGAAAAGCTAAAACCTGTATCGGTCCTCTCAGCTATCCTTATGCTATCTCCTTACTGTCCCATCACTCATCATACTATACTCTTTCATCTTCTCCTCTCTTCCTCAAGGTCACGTCTTTCTACCTTTGCTCATGGCTATCTGTTGTACTCTCTGCCTCTCTGTTAACAGTCCTGATGGAAAACCACACTGCTGCTGCCAGAGTCTGAGAGTGCATTACCTGCCTATTGGCTGCCAATGACATAATGGCATTGGCCGTTGGAGGGTCTGGTTCCATCCGGAGAGCACCTCAGCAAACTGGGCCATTAAGCACTTTTAACACAGCGTCCTTACTAATACAGCCAAGGACAAGCGAGAGCCGCAGTGAAACATTGCTTGTGTGACGTTTCTCAAAAAAGAGCCGTTGACAGAGAAGGAGCGGTTATTGTTGTGATTCAGCACTACTGCCAAGGACATCCGCTATGCTAGCTCACAAATCTGTGCAAATTCAAACAGACCAGCAAGTTATGGATGTGCAGTGCTGCAATACATATGTCTGTGTAAGCTAGTGGTGCATAGACTTATCTGAAAGTCATGCAAAGCTTTGTTGTGATTGACATGATGCTCATTTTTTACCATGATATTATTCATTTATTCAAAAATACATTAAATACACATTGAATACATTTCTTCTATTATAAATCGTTTTTAATTTCTGAAAAGTATTCTGGCATAGACCTAAGTCTCCTATGCTCAGCAAGGCTGCATTTATTTGATGAAAAATATAGTAAAATATCTAATATTATGAAATATTATTCAAATTTAAAATAACTGTTTTCTATTGTAATATTTCTATTTTAATTTTATTCTGGAGATGGCAAATCTGAATTTCCAGAAGCCATTACCTAAGTCTTCCGTATCAGATATTTGAGAATATAATTTTTTGAGAAGGAAAGGTTAGTTAAATATTTCGCGATACAATGACTTAAAAACATGATGGTATAATAATGAATCATTTATGTTTTTTTAAATAATAATAATAATAATAATACAATTTTCTAACGTGGAAAAAAAACTTTTTAAAAAATGATTCAAATGAGATACTCGCATGTATTTATGGTTTTACCAGATTTTTTTCTTGAAAATTATATAAATGGTTTTTCAAACCATATGAATCTAACAGGAAAACAAAGAGCATAAAGAAACGTACACGTTATAAAACACCTTTTTAAAGTTTTCTTTACCATGGACACTTGTTTTTTTCATTGACTTTGAAGTCTGAAGAAAGAAAAATTTGAGCAAAGCATGACGTGAGAGAAATACAAGTTCAAATAATATAGACTCTTCTCAAGTTAACAGCAACTTTGCCTTTTGATATAAAAAACAATCAATTGCTATCAAAGGGAATCTTTCAGTCAGGTCTCAAAAATAGCACACATTTAATCAAAGTGTCAAAGCAACATTAAAGCACCACTGAGGTTTCTGTTGTCTCCACTATTTCAAAGCATCTGTCTCATTTAATGTCTAAAAGAGACAAGCCACAGGCTCAAATTAGCCTCTAAGTGGGTGAGCTAATTGCTACTGTACCCCAACCTTTTTGCACACAGCAGAGGAACAGCCAGAACACGAGCCAAATGCATGACTCCATCCTTAACAGAGGCCAAATACTCACTAATGTTTTCATGTAAATGCTTGCATTTGCCTAAAGAGTTATTCTCTTAATTTACTGCTTTAAAATTGTAGTTCACTCACATTCTCCTGAAAAAGATGTATGTTGAGAGAACGTGTACTATGCTTTAATGCCAAAACATCTGCTGAGCATCATGAAGCATTTGTTTATTTGTTTAAAGGGGTCATATGATGCGATTTCAATTTTTCCTTTCTCTTTGGAGCGTTACAAGCTCTTGGTGCACTGTAAAAAAAATTATGTAGTTTTTACAAAAACAATTTGGCAGCTGTGGTTGCCAGAATAATTTTGTAAAAAATACAGAAACACATTTACGGCCAAAAACTGTAAATTTTACAGTAATTTACAAACAAGAAAATTTGAATGTAAACCAGTAAATTCAACAATGCACACTGCTATTAAAATCTGTTTTGTACCTTTAACATACT